TGACTATTGACTCTACAAGTCTTCGACTTTCAAAAGTGGTCTTATCTGATTAATTCAGGGTCATGCTTCCCACCTGAATGTAAGAGGGTACAAGCGAATAAACGACAAAAATGAGGGAAAGGGGAAAAGAGGAAATATGTATGCATATATATCATTTTCATCTTGACGTGTCTAACGTCTATCACCCCTTCTCATCTCTTCTATTCATAATGTTCTGTCCGATCGACTGGAGCCTATCCATGACGCATGGACCGATTCAAGTTCATCTCTGGTCAAAATGTCATAACCCCCACTTCATGTCCGCACCTCTCACATAAACCCCCTGCACTGAACGATGAACCTACCATCTCAATTCTACACCATCTCATACACCAGTTTACCACTTTTCGTAAATCGCGCAACTCGTAAAGGGACACAGGTCACAATAACAAATCCCCCATTGATCCACCATTCGTCGACCCCACGTTTCCTCCCCAAAGCGTATCAGCAGCTTTCTGTTTCTCCATCTCTCTTATCGTTTTACCACCCGTCCCAGCCCCACCTCCCATTGTCATCCCAACACCTTTACCCCCTCCCGACACGGGGGTGGAGATGGAAGATAACGAAGCGGCAAACAGATCGTCGAACGTGTCTTTTGTCTGAGTGGGTTTAGGTGGGTTACCAGGTTTGGTCATTCCCATACCTTGACCGGAAGACATTTTCATTCCCATGCCCGCTCCCATTGAAGTACCAGGATTGAGAGGACCAGAAGGAGACTTGGAGAAGCCGGAGTTGAGGGACACGGCGGTATTCGGCTTGAGAGGGTTTAAAGAAGTATTGGAATTCACGCCGCTCAAAGGGGTGGGGAGAGGAGTGGGAAGTACGTTTGCTTGGCCCATGGGTGATTTAAAAGCGAGAGATACGGATGGAGTGGGGATTGAGGGGGCAGGGGTGGAGTCGAGCAGGTCGAATAGGTTGGTGTTGACGGGTTGGTTTACGGATTGAGTAACAGGGGCCTGTTGGAAATCGTCAAAATCGTCTAGGAGTGAGCTTCCACCGTGATCTCAAACCGCTCACGCAGAGGCACTTGGCACTCAAATAAAGGAGTATATCCAACCATTCCAAAGAGGAGATGCACGGATGACATAGTTTTGACCGAGAAAACATCTTCCCACTCACCATCCATTGACGCAGAGGGTTTCAGCCCTGGAGCAGGGTCATCATCAGCGAAATCAAACAGATTCACTTCCTTCTCCGGCTTCTTCTCTTCTTTCTTGGGAGGGGGTGTAGGTTTGGTTTCAGCTCGGACGCTACCACCTCCTCTTCGGGTTTCTTGCGAGGCGGCACGATGGGGACGTTCCCGGGGTTCATCGGCGAAATCGTCGGCGCCTTCGTATTCGTCATACGACTGTCGGCGTGCCGAATTGCGTGACGGGCGGTGGTCTGGGATCAGTACGATTGGTCTCGATACTTGCGCGGATGCACTGATGTACGTGCAGGGGTTGGTGATAAAGTGGGAGGGTGAGAAGAAAGCTCAACGCCAGAAGCAGCAAAAGCAAGATCATCAAGTGTATGGGAAACAAAGGGCCGATGTAGCTAACGAGGGGACAAAACGGGGAATCTTGAACTCACCACCGTCATACCCTCTTCCGACCGAACTACTCCCTCCCCCACCAAGCACATCGCTCCCGAACCCACCATATCTATTCCCGGTGGAAGTCACAAAACTCATCCCACCGTCGTTTCCTGTCCCTTGATACTTCGTCTTGTTGGCTTTGGCTTTCCGTCTCTCTTGTCTTATCCGGTCGACGTCTGCTAGAAGCGCAGCCAGTTCTTGAGCTCGATTACGGACTGGGCGTCAGATTGCGTCATGAATTCGACGTGGGTGACTGCAAAGAGAGCAGGATAGGTATGATGGGAAGATGGATCAGGAATGAGGACTGCAACTAACCATTGATCCCTTGATCTTTACCCTTCTCATCAATGTAATGGAAATTCCTCAACATTTTGATAGTGGAGATATGCGCTCTGGAATCGTCTACAACTCTTTCCGATCCGTTCTTGACCAGAAATTCCAAAAGGGTCATGGCCTGAGTTCAGCCCGGCTTGTGATGGGCGTGATTTGAGCTTGTCAGGAACTGACCTTGTAGATTTGACGCCATTCACGAGCTTCTTTCCTGTTTTGTGAGCTTGTGTAATGTGACATACCGAGGGAGGAAATTGATGGAAAGTAAGGACAAATGACTCACTCCATGAACCTGGAGTAAATGGTAGGCATGATTTCGTTGAACTGGGAGCTGCGAGGTGAGTTCCTATGTGATGGAGATAGAAGAATCTGACAAGTTGTGTGTTCTAAATATCAGCTGTGAGACGAGTGCGGAAGAGAACGACCTACCCATCGGCTATTTGTTGCATCAAAGTGGAAGAAGCGCCCCTTTTTGATCAGCTCTTGTCGTCGGGTTCGTCAACGAGGCGGGTGACAGCTGCAGGCGGGGGTATAGATACAAGTGGGTGAGAGGGAGAGTGAGAGAGATACGAGAGAGATGACCACTCACCATGGATCATCGTTTGTGGCTTCCCTCACCTTTGCCTCCATCTCACTCACGTTCAACACTGCGTTCTTGGCTTGAGTGTAGTACGTCTTGAGGTCGTACATTGTGAGCTGAGAAGCTTCTTTCGCCAGTTCTGAGGGTGAGTGGTTGTTGGTGGCTCTCAGTGTATACTACTCACTCTCTATATAATCCATCTTGATAGTGTTGTGTGTTGTATGATGTATGTATGAGAAGAGTGAAGAGTGTATGCAATGTATGGTTGAGAGGGGCGGACACGAGGGGGGGGGAAGTGCCACACTGTCATCTCTTACTCGGCGATATGTCATAACCCCGACTGCCCCATGGGGTAAACCACGTGACCCTTCCATCCCACCCCACCTCGTCGTCAGGTTTCTCTCACCACCACTAACTTACTCACAACCACTCTCCATCTACTGTACGAATACTATTGCCCCTTATACCTCCTCTGCCTGCTTGCCTGTCTACTTGTCTGCCCAATAACCCACCATGTCACGTACGAAACAAAGAGTACATCCTCCTCCCAACCCACCTGCCAAATACTGGCCTGCAGACACGCAACACAAATCATGTCCAAATTGTAAACTACCCGCTCCATGGGTCAGGTTCAGAGAAGTCGTCCCTCCTACCGTGAGTTTCATCTTCGTGTACACTCGCCTGACTGAATCTTCAGCCAACCTCTGGTCTCTGTACCATGTGTCAAGATCCCAATAGAGAGTTGAGATATTGGATGAAAATGAGGAAAGCCATGGTGAGTGAAATCGATCGTTTTATAAACCTGAGATGGACTGATCAATAGCGAACAAACATCCATAACGCACGTCTCAAGGTGATAGCCGCTAATGCTGGTAGAGAAATATTCCCTATTCAAGCAGGTTCATCAGGATCAAGCATTTCTAATAATTCACAATTAAACACTGTTCAACCTCCAACTGGATTAAGAATGCCTCCACCTCATATCCTTCCCCCTGAACTACCACCTACGTTGACCATGAACCAAATGAATATGATCCCCCCGGCTTTGAGACCTCATTTGAATTATCAGCCTCCGATAGGGTCGAATGATACTTCAGACCGTCCACTTGACGTCCCTCATGTAGCTCAGGTTTTGCGTCAGATGATGGAACCTCTGAGATCCATGTCATGGTGAGTGGATCATCTATCTTTCGTTATTGGATTCGCCCTCTCACCTTTCGACCAAGAGACTCATCCCTCCATCCCTCTCACTCCCTACCGTCCGATTAAGACAAAAGTCTGCCTACGATCATTCAGCAGATGTCTTCTTTTCGGGGTCAAAGCGAGAGCTGAGTGTGCGTTGACTACAGGTTGAAACTCAACTACCGTTTCTCAGTCGGTGCACATTTACCACAATTATCTATCTACAATCATTATCTCTCTTTCCTCCTATATGAAACTCAATCGCAACAACCACAACAACAGTCCAACCCCAACCCTCAAGTCACTCCCCCCATCCCTCAGGCGATATCAGGAGTACACTTCGTAAAGCTCATCAGTCAGATTTGGCCAGGGACGGCGTTGTTAAGGGAGAATTTCACAGTGTTGGGGTTGGAAAGGATTGATGGTGAAGGTGTAGTCGGGGCTGGTGTAGGGGAAGGAATCAATGGAGGTGATCCAAGTGTGATCTTGGGTAATGTCCCACAAGGGATGAACACCAACATGACCATGGGGGTGAGTACGATGAACGTACCTGGGAATGGGATGCCGAATGGGATACAAGGATCGAGCAGAAGTTCTCCTGTCGGGGTGAACGGAATAGGTGGAAGTAATGGTGAGCAAGGTGGAAGAGGGAGTAAGTCTGTGCCGATGAAGAGGGGTAGTTCGTCGACTTTCATTACACCTGGTGAGTCTTCCTACCTTCTGAATTAATTCTTTGCTATCCCACCTCATCAAAGCTTCAGCCCTTTTGATGTGTCCTAATTTATCTGATACTCTTCCCTCTACTACTGCCCAATACACATGATCTCTCTCGCCCTTTTCCCTAAATGTCTTCTTATATGGCCTCCCAGAACACCGCGCTCCGCGCAGTATCTATCCACCCAAGTCCAATCTCCACACTACCTGCACGTGCCCCACATCGACTAGCCACTATTCAACTTCATACGACATACTTCCCAGTTGATAGATACCTTCGTCCTATCGGGTCAGTGTCAAACTGGCCAGAACTAGTAATTGGGTCAGACAGCAACCACTCCATTTCATATTCGTTCATCACACATAGATCTTCGTCTCGTATATGTATCGGACAAGGATTCTTCATTCCAGAAATGATTATTTGAGAATCTTCATCTCATACATCCCACACTCTGACAAACACACCCGGACAAACTCATCAAAACTCCCTTGTCGCTGATGAACCAGACCAATCAACACCTACGAAACAAATCCCCATCATCCGACCACCGAAGTTTATAGTACCAAAAGGTACCATCCATCTTTCCTCGCCTAGACCGTAAGGATTTGGTTTCGTCACTTTGATTTACTCTAATTCGTCGTCTATACCACCAACTGTGGTTTATCGTTTATAAAGTATTCAACTTTTAATCCAGGATCACGAAATGACGCTTTATTGTTTACATGTCCATATACCATGAACACATGTTTTCATCCATTCTCGAGACAAAAAGTCCTCATGTATTGTTTGATATTTTCATTCCAAGACTTTTACAAATTTCTCTTGTATTTCATGACAAATGACCAAGAAATTGAATTAACATGTTGTTACAATATTGTTGGTTGTTCGTTGCGCGTTTTCTCATTCATCGTTTGTCGTTCCTTATTCGTCGTTCGTCGTTCGTTACTCGTTACTCGTTGGTCGGAACATTTCAATGAGACAATAATGGGAAAAACGTTGTCACTCTTTTCCTCTGACAATTTGTTCAAAACTTCTACAGTATTCGACTTCTATTCACTTTTCCTCTCATTCATCTAGAATACAAGTAATTATTTTTCATCTTTTCTTCTCTTTGTGACAAATATGACAAACATGACATATTGTCAACTACCATTCCATCTTTTCTTCTCCCCTCTTTCTGACTGATACGACATACTGACATCCAACGTGATACCACGATCAGTACCAAATACCAATACTTGTACCCTGACTTTAAAACCTCATTATTAAGTTTACATTGAATCTTAGGACCTTTGGACGAGTTCATGATTCCCCCTGTTGGGTATTCTATTATGACACTCCCACTCCCACTCCCACTCAGGTTTACAGATCATGACACCCCCACTCACACCCAATACTCATGGTTAGATTCGTTGGCATCAAGACTGATGAACATGTCAAAGGAATGGAATTGCTTCATAAGAAATAAGATGAGATTAGATCGAAAGGACGGTTTGAAAATACATACATGTAACATGTAAGGTTACGAGGGTACTTGAAAATGCTTTAAATCTACTATAATAAAAGAAGATGTCGAGACAACTTGCGAGACAAACCACGTGGGAGTCGCGTGCGCGCGAACAGGGGGAGTCGCGAGCAGGGGGGAGTCGCGAGCAGGGGGATCGCGAGCAGGGGGATCGCGAGCAGGGGGATCGCCGGGGGGAACGGTGGGGGGAACGGTGGGGGGAACGGTGAGGGGAACGGTGAGGGGAACGGTGAGGGGGAAAGCAGATTTGAACCGAGTTTTCGGTTGCTCAAAATCCCCTAAATAGGGGGTCCGGCCAGCCAAATTCGACTTTTTTTTCGTTTTCTCGCGTTTTTTCGCGCTCAGGGGGTTCCGTCACATGTAACCTGCTCCACTGACTTCTCTGCCACCTATAGGGGAGAAGAATTCGGACGTCCCCGGTCCACGTGCACCTTTACACATTATTGTTTCTCGACCATTCACGGGACTCTCCGAGGCGACTCGCATCCCCGTTCACACTGTGCACTTTTACACCGTTATCGCAACCATTCACGGGGCTCTCCGAGGCGACTCGCATCCCCGTTCACACCGTGCACTTTTACACCCGCATTTCACGCTGGCTCTCCCGGGGCTCTCCGAGGCGACTCGCATCCCCGTTCACACCGTGCACTTTTACACCCGCATTTCACGCTGGCTCTCCCGGGGCTCTCCAAGGTAACTCGCTCCCCTGTTCACATCGTGCACTTCTATACTTTTATTCTCTGCCCGTGAGTTATCATTTATTGTGCCAAAGACTCTACACTTACATGAGAAATGACCTCAAATCCCGAAACCACTGTCACCCTGCAGGGGCTGACAAGACGACAATTAGCTCAACGTGCTCGGCGCGAGCGGGAAAGGGGCACAAGGGATCTACCAGAACCCGCAGATCCAAACATCTCAGGTCCAACCAGAAGGGAACTTGGACAACGGTCCAGGCGGGAGCGCGAAGGGGTCAATTCACACTGCCTTGCTCGACAAGACTACAATGATGGAACACCAGTACATCAATTTGGCCGCTGTGAAGTTCCCTGTCCTAAGTGTGGTGCATTACACTGGCTTCAGGAACGTGCTCTCAACCTCGCAGCTGGAGGGGAACGCTCAACCTTGGCCAATCCCCTTTTCTCCTCCTGTTGCTTGAATGGGGCTGTACAACTCCCACTTCCGTTGGACCCCCCACTCGAATTACGTGATCTTTTAACAGATCAGACACATCGTAGGCTGGCTTTACCTCAATGAATTCAGCGCTGATTATGACCAGAAGGAAAGCTCCGACGTGAGCAGCTCCGAAATTACAATAATTCTCTTGCTTTCACCTCAATGGGTGTTGATAAGCAAGACATGCAAGTTTGGGGACCTCAAGGGATTTACACCTTTCGTATTGGTGGACGAGCGTACCACCAAATCGGGTCATTACTTCCTGAAGCCGGCAAACAGCCCCGATTTGCTCAAGTCTTCCTGGCGGGTCTGTCCGAAGCAGAACAGGCTGCTCAGCGAAACATCCACATCCGAGGGAGAGGTGAAGAGGGTGTTCTGACCCGCCTGGCTCAAATGATAGAGAGGGTGAACCCCTACTATGCTGCTTTCAAGACTTTCCGGGACCGAGACAGGGAATCTGAAGAGGACACACCGATTCTGTATCTTACGGTTCTAAATCCTGTGCAAAACGACCCTCGCCGATACAACCGACCTACGTCAGATGAAGTTGCATGTGTATATGTTGCCGATGAGAATGAACCATCCCCGGGTCGTCACATTCAAGTTTATCTGCGAGGTGGTGGGGTTCGCAACATTAGTGAACTTCACTCAGCATACCTTCCCCTGCACTTCACGCTCATCTACCCACACGGCGAGCCCGGCTGGCATCCAAAAATTCCGTTAGCAGGACAACCATTGGTTGAGAATGAGGAGTTTAGGGGGGATGATGAGATCACTGATGGCAATGCAGGGGATGGGGGTTTGGCAGAAGACATTCGGAGGACTGGGCGTGCTGGATCAAAGCGAGTTACTCAAGCACAGTATGCGACTTATTACCTGTTCAAACGCAACAACAATTTCAATACTGCCCTCTACTGTGGACGACTCTTTCAGGAATTATTGGTTGATCAGTGGGCCCAGACCGAATCAAACCGTCTGCGATGGATCCGAGAGAATCAAACCACTCTCCGAGCTGAATCTTACAAGGGATTGGTGGACGCAGTTGATGCTGGGATTCCTTTGGTTGATGTAGGAAAAAAAGTGGTGCTCCCCTCAACCTTTGCCGGGTCCCCACGTCAGATGCACGCCCTGTACCAGGACGCCATGGCTATTGTCTCACACGTGACAAAGCCTGACCTATTTGTAACAATCACCTGCAATCCCACTTGGCCGGAGATCACTCAGGAGTTGGAACCAGGACAGACAGCCCAAGATCGCCCCGATTTGGTCTCAAGAGTGTTTGCACTCAAGCTTGACGCTATGCTGAACGAGTTTTTCAAATTGGGAGTATTGGGAAAGGTGAGCTCCATTGATCATTTCCTGCTGAGAGTTTACTGATCTGAAGGTGGTTGCAAGGATCTGGGTGATCGAATTTCAAAAACGGGGGCTTCCGCATTGTCATCTGCTCATGTGCCTGGCACCAGATGATAAGCCTCGCACACCCGCCGATGTTGACAAGATTGTATGTGCTGAACTCCCCTGTGAGGAGACTCAGCCTGTGCTTTTCAAGGTTGTTACGTCATGTATGCTGCATACCTGTAGTGATCGATGCCAAGCCCAGATGCGTCGTGATGGCCGATGTTCAAAGAAGTTCCCCTGGGCTTTTCAACCGGAGACAACAATGGAACAGGATGGTTACCCTATTTACCGAAGACGAGATAATGGGCGGTCATGGACAAAGAACCGCATAACATACACCAATCAACACGTGGTTCCCTACAATCCCTATTTATCGGCTCGATTTAATGCACACATCAATGTAGAGGTTTGCACTTCAATCAGTGCAGTGAAGTATATGTTCAAATATGTTTACAAGGGACATGATCGAGCAAATGTGGCGGTGGTTCCCAATCAAGTGGATCTTGATGAGATCAACCGCTACATTGATGCACGCTGGGTTTCTGCCTCTGAGGGTGAGTCATAGTTCAATTTTACTGCTTAGCTAATATGCCATCAGCTGTTTGGCGCCTTAGCGGTAATCCCATGCATGGCCATTTTCCTCCTGTGGAACGACTTCAGCTCCATCTACCAGATGAAGATCAAGTGCAATTTGTGCCTGAAGAGGAACGTGCAAATCTGCCACAGGAACTTCAGCGGAACAGTCGATTACTGGGATACTTCAAAGCTTGCGAGACCTATTCAGAGTTGCTCCGTGACAAGATATATGCCGACATACCAGAATTACTTTGTTGGCACACTACGGAACGTGCTTGGAAGCCTCGGAAACGTGGAACAGCTATTGGGAGAGTGTACTTTGCGGGTCCTCAATCTGGGGAGCTCTATTATCTGCGACTTCTGCTCTATCATGTTCCCTGCCCGACATCTTTTGAAAGTCTCCGTACTGTTGATCATACACTGCATCCGACCTTTCGAGCCGCCTGTGTTGCCCTTGGCCTACTTGATGACGATCGTGATCTGGATGAATGCCTTACCCAAGCTGCGACATATGCCTCAGGATCTCAGCTACGTCGACTATTTGTGATCATTTTGGTGGAAAATCAACCCTCCAGCCCGGCGGACCTGTGGGAGACACACTCAATGGCGTTGAGTGATGATTGTGTTCACCTGCTCCGGCAGAAGGGATGGATGGAGAACCCAAGTGTGGAGGAGCGGCTCTCCTACGCGTTACATCTCCTGGGGGGTCTGCTTGAAGAGAGGGGGAAGAGTCTGGCTGGGTGTTATCTTCCTGAACCAACAGTTGTGTTTCCGGAAGACAATGATAGTCGCATTATCAATGAAGAACTGGCTTACAACAGGGGTGAATTGCAACAAACCAGCACTGTCAACATGGCCATTGCCAATCCGGAACAGCAGACAGTTATCAACGACATAGTTCAGGCAGCCAGGGCTCGGACATCCGCGTGCTTTTTCCTTGATGGTCCAGGTGGTTGTGGCAAGACATTTGTGGAGAACACAGTAGCAGCGGTTTTGCGAGCGGAAGGTGACATTGTCTTGATGGTTGGATCTTCAGGTATATGTGCAATCCTTCTAAAGGGTGGCCGTACAGGTGAGCCATGTTTAGTTCATTGAGTGCAGAGTTGACACACAGCCCATTCCCGGTTCAAAATTCCAATCGACATTCATGGCGACTCCCAGTGCAGCATCTCAAAACAGAGTGAACTCGCAAAGCTGTTCTTGCGTACCAGGCTGATCATATGGGATGAGGCGCCTATGCAGCATCGACACTGTGCAGAGGCAGTAGAACGCATGCTGAGGGATGTGCGGGGATCTGAAGAGCCTTTTGGAGGGGCAGTAGTGGTATTTGCAGGAGACTTTCGACAGTGTTTGCCGGTGGTGCCAAAAGGGAGTCAAGCGCAGATCAAAAGCGCATGTTTGACCAGCTCACGTCTGTGGCAGAAGGTAAAACGGCTCAAACTTACTATCAACATGCGGCTCCAGAGTGCAGAGATGTCTGACATTGAGAGGGAGGAAGCAAGTGGGTTTGCGGAGTGGCTTCTCAGGGTAGGGGATGGTTTAGTAGATGGGGAACAGTCGGACGCTTTGAGAATACCTCCGGATTTGCGGGTGGAGTCGACAAACGAATTGCTGCAGCATGTCTATCCCAACCTGGCTCAGAGCTTTCCGACAACAGAAGCTGCTCTTCAGTACTTTGCAGACCGTGCAGTTCTTGCTCCAACCAACGCTGAAGTCGATGAGTTGAACAAGACCCTCCTTGGCGAGCTTAGTGGGGAATCTCGGACATACCTCAGTGCAGATTGGATCGTTGAGAATGATGGTGCTTTGAACCCGCGTGCTCGACCCTTGAATCAGCAACTCTGGCCAATTGAATATCTCAACTCAATCACAATTGGCGGATTCCCTCTTCACAAGACAATTGTAAAAGTTGGGGGAACAGTTCTTCTACTTCGTAACTTGGATCCAGCTGCAGGTCTTTGCAACGGTACTCGGATCTATGTGACACGTCTTCTACCAAATGTTATCGAGGGGTGCATTCTTGGGGGCGACTTCCATTCGAATAAGTGTTTCATCCCGCGTATCAAACTCGACACAGCAAAATCCTCTAACCTACCTTTCACCTTGCGTCGTAGTCAATTTCCCATACGAGTCGGTCTTGCTCTCACAATTAACAAGGCACAAGGGCAATCTCTCGCAACAGTCGGCTTATGTCTCTCAAAACCGGTATTTACCCATGGTCAGCTGTATGTTGGTCTCTCTCGCGCGCGCTTCAAGAATGGTCTCAAGGTTTTGCTGGAGGATTCAGAGGAGGGGAGAAGAGGTGAGACAAAGAATATTGTGTATAAGGATGTGCTCTTGGCAGCCAGGGCTGCTTAATATGTAATGTGTATAGGTTTGCAGTTTAGATTAGACTTATAGTGTGTAGTGTATATAGTGTAAGTAGCCTCCCACATGTTGGGAACTGGGGCGGAGGGAATTTAATTGTAGTGTCTGGGTGGTGGGGAACTGGGGCATATGCTATGCATGAACTTAGAAATTTGACTGCATGGTTCAACTAGGGAACTGGGGCATACACTAATTCATCTTAACCATTGGCAGTTGCTCCCGTGAATTTCACGGGTTGGAACACTAGTCTTAAAGTTCCAAAAGATGATATATAATCCTTCACTACATTACACTATACTACATATTTGCTTGGTCGAGCAAGAAACCAAAAGAGATCAAATTTGTCACATCCAGCCATCAAAAGTTGTTGTGAAATATCACCATCTTCATGACTTCTCACCTTTCTACTCACTTACATCCAAGACGACTATTCTATCTCCACTCGTCTTTACTCACCTTCAGGGCCTATCTCAATTTAATCACTCCACCACAAAACATGTCTCACCTACTGCCCACGACAATCTCCTCAGCCCCGCCAAAGTTTTGTCGACGATGAAATGGGTGCAATAAGTAGAAAATTGTCGAAAGGCAAGCGAAAAGACAGACAATTCACGATAGGGGCAGGAAAGAGATACACCCCGTCACGTCCCATCGAAACTGATTCTCACATCACCCCATTGACCCAGGACGGCAACTTGACTACCTCTCCCAGCACCGGATAATATACTGGGTATGGTTTCGTTACCTATACCCCAGAACGATACACCGGAGAGGAGTGTGGAACCGGGGAATGAGGTAGAGCCTGGGGGTTAGCCCAGGGACGATAGTTTGCCGAGAGACCAGTGATACACGGTGGTACTCGGTAGTAGAAAAACAGGTGGGTCACGGGGAGTATCAAGAGATAAAATGGCCTGAGCGCATGGGAAAGCGAAGAGATACCGTCCAGAGAGCAGGGGGAGATGGGCGAGATGGATACAGGGTCAAGTAACAACATGAGAGATGTTGGAAGGGACAAAAGTAACGGTTGTGTGAAAAGTGTCATCGGAATCAACACTTCATGACTCACCCGTCGACCCCAAAGAATCCCCAAAGCCAACTTCATCAAACAAACTCCCCTTTTGTACCTCCACAGGTCCATACAAAACCTTTCTCACTCTATCCAACCCTAAAGCATCGTCATATATCCCTTTTATCGGAAGAGGTAATCTAACATCCCCCCAAGCATTCTTCACCACCCAAGGACCGACGTAATTAGGAGAGAGAGAGAGCGAGACATCTCCTGCGCCAGTGGCGGCTAAAGCGGAAAGACCCGTCTGTGGAGGTTGAGAGAGATAAGAAATGGTCAACGATCCGGCGTCAGTGACGAATGTGGTGTTGTATATGTATGGAGGTGAACGGCGGATGGGAATGAAGGAACCTCTTCTCGATGGGTTGTGTATAATTTTGGACTGGTCACGGGGAGAGTTGGGTTTGAGTTGTCGACGATCTGAAGTGGAGTTGGATTGTGAAGATAGGGCCGGGTCAGAGGAGGAAGATGAGGAAGAAGAAGTTAGGGAAGAGGACGATGTGGAAGATGTGTCGGTGGGATCTTCAGTATCGAGAAAAGGAGACACGTTGAAAGTGGCGGTGGATGGAGGTGTGGTGAGGTAGACATCGGCCGTGATGGATCCGCTGATGAGTCAGTTCAGTTCTCAAGTATTCCTCAAGTATTATCAAGCGGACGCAAGATGGACATGGGCTTCAAGAAAGAGGTAGACAGCGACAAAAGCGTCTCCACCAAGGAAGTCGAAAGGCATACGGACCAGGGGAAGGTACTCGGGAAGAGAGAGAGACCATGGACAGAAACGGAGAGAGACAAGATCGTGAAGTGCACGTAGCAAATATGGAGTTCACTCACTCGGTAACGTTGATGGCCAGCGTCTCACTGACATTCCAACTCCCATGCACGCAATTCTCAGCGGCGTAAAGATATGCGCTTCTGGCGGATAAACCATTCACGTACACACCACCCCTTCGAGTCGTCACATTCCACACACCGAACTGAGCCGATGTGAATAGATTACCCATTCGGATGGACATGTGGTCGACATCCACCATGAAAGACGGTATTGAGATTGGAGAGGGTGAGGAAGAAAGAGCAGAAGGGGGTAAGCGGATGATTATTTCGAATGTGGGTAGCTGAGTAGGATCAAGCATGTAGGCGGTGGAGATTTTACCGTCGGAAAGGATGGGGGACTGGGTGTTAGCATAATGGTGGGACAGAGTTGTGTAGACGGATTGATCCAGGCGGGTATATACAAAGGGCGAGTTTGTGGGAAAAGAGGAAGGGGAGAGGTTCAATTGGGTATGGAGAGGGGGAAAGGAAAACTCACGTATACACCCACACCCTTACCTCCTCCATCTACTGCCATCTCGCAGACCCTGACGATAGAATTGGCCTCTTGAGGTCCAGGATAACGCATCACGACATCCACTCTGATGGTACTTTCGTTCCCACCTTGAACCACTGCCACAGGGGCATCCGATCCTACAAACTCTACCGTTCCCCATGACGCTAAACCACGAGACAGGACGAAAAAGTCATACGGCAAGTTGGTTTGGTTGAGTGGGAAGTAGAAGGTGGTGCTTAGTACTTTTGAGTTGGGATATGGTCTTGACAGTGTAAGAAGAGGATCGGAAGTGTTGAGAGGAAGAAGAGTGTGACAAGTTGTAAAGTGACCATCGGTGAGTGAAGGGCCGTCCTGATTGTCAGTCACGAGTAAAAAGGAAGAATATATTTTTTACCTACCCTATCATCAACCCATGTTAAGTTTGACGATCCATCCGTTGACCATTGAGTATCTGCCTTTCTGCTATTATCTCTATAAGGTGAGAAAGCCACTGGTGGAGGTCTTTGATGTCTACCTGAACCAACTTTTAATCCCACCAAAAGCCCTAAGAGTAGAGCTAGACCAACAACGACCAATGTGACAACTGCGATGATCCACCATTTGTATCTTTTCAAAAAGGTCATAAACCTTCGTTTCTTTTTCTTTTCTGATATTAATTGAGTAGAAGATGAGGTATGGATTCGTATAGTGGATTGAGTTGGTAAAGGGAGAGATCGACTGGAAGACATTCGAGTGGTCTCATCTCTGATATGTGGATTGAGAGGGTCTGAAATGGTAGGTTGAGTGATAGACCTTCTGGATGTCTGTCGTATGGGAGGATCTGATCGATGTGGGTCGTAAGGAGGTAAATGTTCATCATGACTGCTCAGTCGAGAAGGGAAGAGGGAAAGGTCGGAACCGAAGGGATAACCAAAAGTCGTGTTTCGATCCGAGGATGTCAAGTCGGAAGGAGGATGAGGGAGGGAGGAGGTGGAGGCTGTGGGGGTGATGAAGAGGTTCGGATCTTTATCGTCATCGGGTGGAATGATCATTAGACGAGTGAGAGGGGGGTTGTATAGAGGTAAGAGGGTATGAGGTGGTTGTAAGAAGGTTTGAGCGAGGAGGGCGAAGGGGAGGCGGTGAGAGGGAAGGAAATGCGCGCCTATTTCCGGCTTCGTGAACCGCGCTGCGAGTAAACGCGCGCCTAGCACAACTTAGGTCAGTAGGACCAAAATGTGACCTTTCTTACGTTCTAATCAACCATGTCCCCTCCAAACCATTCAAGCAAAGACATGGGGAGGAGACCCAGCGGCATTGTCAAGCGGGCAATGGGTCTAGGTATAAACATAGTCACATGGTATCGGGCACCAAGCAGCCAGCAACTAGCAGCTAACACTCACCTACACAGAGCTCTGACAGCCGATGAATAGTCAAACTCGAATGTCTGCAAGTCTTAACATCAGGTCTGGATCTTGGACTGAATATCTCATCAGCTTGACCGGGCCGACCACTGATCCAGGTAGATTTCTGATATGATCAACACACACGCGAGGGGAACTGTAAGTTCACAGACGACCACATGGTTCCCATACGTCTTCTCCGGATCGCAAGAAATTATCCACTCCCTTCGTACCATGAGGGCTTCAGGCGCCAAATCCTACTCTGGGCACCGGTGTTGATGGTACAAACTAGACTATAACGATGGGATGGGGGTCGGAAACCCTCGGTACTGGCTACTCGAATGGGTGGAGGATTTAGTATCGACCATGGTGTTGTGATATAGGAAAGATACTTTAGGTGAGCCCTCATTCCCTTCCACATACGCCCTCTTTACCCACCTTCTCTTCAGTACATACTCCCTCGGAACCATCATCATCCTCGTGTCTTGTCGCAGCAGTGTAAACACGCTACAGTATACGGGGTCTATCACGCCATCGCGGTATCTAGCTTCTTCTGGACATGATGGGAAGATTATTCGATATCGTACTACAGTCCTTTTCTTCTCTTCTTTTTTCCCTTCTCCGCTCTTCACTTCACTGCTCCTCTCTTCTCTCGACTTACCTCACAATCGTCTCAAGACTCTGCTTCCATCGTCATTTTTCAATTTATATTGGCAATCATACCCGATACAACAGCCTTAGCTTCTCGCATGATCTATACCCCAGTGTTCTCTACTTAGCAGAGTAACAATCCATATCACGATGACCTTGTCCATCTTCGACAAATGTATTTTCTACATTCCCCCGGGCCAGCGATACGTAGGTGATGTCAACGAAGAATCACATGTGAACACTCTCATACAAGTGAGTCTATCCTACAACACCACATGCTGATACGTAGACTCACAGAGGTTTCTTAATCCAACATGATCATCCCAAAGTGACCCACATTTTGGTGATAAGACGTAACTGGACAGTGGCGGACCTGGAGATAGTAGTAAGGAGTGAAATGATTAGAGGGAGGAGAGTTTTAGATCTTGATTGGATTGTGGATTGTATTGCTGCTGGTGTGCTTCTTGGTGAGGAGAAAGATTGGGGTGGACATTTGATACGGTGTGCTGTTCAACCCCTGTAGCTCGTTCCTACTGTTGCTAATATGTCGAGGATTTTAGCTGATCGTAAGACCGGGTAACGTCAGCAAGCCCGCTAGTGTGTCCCCTTCGCCCTCTTCCTTCCAAGACTGTCTCAATTCCGAATTGCTCTACGAACGTCTCACCTGCCAATGCCGCGAAGACTCATCCGGGGACAAATTTGGATTCTCAGTGCAGAACGGAAGATCTACATCACGGGATAAAGACATCTTCTCTTTCTTCCGACTCGAACCCGTCTCTACTAATCTGTACTCCTCAACTTCCCTTCACTTGCGGAGTGGCTTCTTTCAGCACTGGAGTGAAACCTAGGTTACCATACAGACCTAAGAAACTCATGTCCACCGACGGATCGACCTTTCTACCTCCCCTCCATTCATTACTTCTTCAAACGACCACATCGACGTTGGATCGTGAATCTCAAACACGGTGTCCACCAGATCCGTCTATCAAAGAACTTATCGACTCGACGCCCGACACACCCGCCTCACCCCAGTCTACCTCCACACCATCTTCGGCTGAACAGGTATCGTCGCAGGAAAACAAGCGCTTGTTCGTAGATGAATTTGGCGATCCTCGCAAGTTTTCAGTACACGGCACGACGTTCGAACGACGTACGTTGACCGCCCTCGTCCAACGGGGAGGAGGGGATTTGGTCGACGAGGAACAAGCAGATTACGCTGTGTTCCCGATCTCTCCCCGTGAGGTGACCCAGTCGAGGGATACTCCACAATCCGGGGATATGGTCCGGGGTAGTAGGACGAAGGCTGTATCGCACGAATGGCTCGAGGTGTGTTTGGAGAAGGGAAAGTTAGTGAGGCCGACGGATTTCTTACTTCCTTTTGATCGACTCAGTCTTGGTGGGTCACGTCAGGTATCGGTGCCGACTGGAAATGAGCAAATCTTGAATAGTCAACAACATGAAGAATGCCAGCAAACATCAGTCATTGTGTCGTGTGATAGCGGGGGTCATCTCACACCACCGGCTACACCCGTAAAATCAGTGGCAACAGCACTACATTCTCATCCTCTCATACCAGGCATCAGAATAACGCCGACGCTCTCCACTTTATTAACGAACCTCGACAGTGTCAAAATGACCAATGTGACAGAATGCGCATCGGTTTCATCCATCCTTTCGACAACCGAAACATCAGCTGCATCCGATAACGTGACACCTTCATCATCTACCAGTGAAACTCGTAGGGAGGATGTCGGTATCTTTGTCACTTCTTCTTCGTTGACCCACCGAGCTGAGCATGAACATACATCCCATCATCCCGCCGAGAGCAGTTCCTCCTTCACTCCCCTTGATCCTTCGAAAAGTTCGGAGAAAAGACCATCTCGTGTCGATTCACCCACCAAGAAATTCCGACCAAACGCTCCTAAATATCCCTCACTACCGACTATCTCCAAACGGCGTTTCGTCGATCTTGAAGTCCTGACATCGTCTGGAGATCTCAATCAAGATGCTTCCCAGGTGACTCCTCCTACTTGTCCTCAAGCTATGCGATCTGTGTCGACTGAACAGGATATGAGTGAGGAATCAACTCAATCAACAACCCCACCTGTTGTTTCTTCGGAGCCTTTCACTCCTATCGTACTTCCACCCGTTTCCCTGTCCCTATCTCGTGACCGTCCCATGTATTCTGATGTTCTTATGGGTCAAGCTCAAAGTCAAGCCCAAAGTCATGTGCGCACAGGTTTGGTCGTAGCAGAAGGCCAATCGGTCCTGGGTCTCGAGCAGGGCCGACCACAGATTAGTTTCAAGTTACGAGACGATCCAGTTGACAGTTCAAATCGTTGGCAGAGCAAGAGGCAAAACGATATCGGGTTGAAGGATGATAAAGAAGAAGGGTTCCGTCCAGAGAGACAGAATTTCATTATCCCTTCTCGTAAGTCATCTCTTCCTTGATCGTTTCTCGATTGACGAAACGGCCGATCGGGTGGTCGAGGACGTTCCCGTCGACGTAGCTCGAGATGGAATTGGAAAAGCGCGTTTGGTAGTTCGTTTTAATTGAAAAAAGCTACAACATTACCGTATTTATCTTTTTTTGTCATCCTACCAGAATGGAACAACGGCTCTTGCTCTCCAGGAAATACACGCGGGGATGGAGCTTGGTGGTGAGAAAGTACACGGAGGAACGGATGTTATTTGTGGATACATGCAACAGTAGGTTGGAGCATGTGAAGAGCCGAGGATCAAAGAAGGGGACATAGCTATTGGAATCGGTCTCGGTCTCCTCCCTCGTCCAAAGAGCGAGTGAGGTTTATGTGTAGAGAATTCACCCGGTGATGTCGGACAACGTATGATCAGTGATAAATTAGGCTTTGGAGTTGGACGAATAAATGGTTCTTGCATGTCCTGCTCGAGTGATATACTTATAGAGTACGAGTACGAGTATTCTTCACTATGTTATTCGCTTGATATCCCTTCGTTCATCGCCTTTCGATGCCGATGTCAAAGTCAACTTCGTATCCTCCCCATAATATAAATTTGACTGATCTTCGAATATCATGTAATTGACCAGTACAACATGATACACCATGTATATATTTTTATTTTATTCTTATTATTTTTATACAACCTCTTCAAAATCTTCATCTTCCATACCATCCATATCAACATCAACATCATCAACATCATCATCATCATCCAACATTTCTTCTTTACCCGTACCCTCTTTCCAAACATCTTTCAAAGTATACAAACCTGCATATTGACCATCTTTCACCACTTCCGCTATTTCTTCCAATACTTCACGTATGAAAGCGTCTGGTTGTTCCAGAGTCACACGTAGAGCTCGTATACCCCAATAAGGACGGTCTTTGAATAATGCGAACAGACGGTTGGTCAGATCTGAATGGGTGGTGCGGACGTACTTGTCTTTTTGAGCCGGACGGTTTACCTAGGGGTCAATCGGTGCTTCACTTGATTTGAGACTATCATATGATAGCGTATGATGGTTCCAGTATGATCTGGCAAGATGACATTTGCAGTGGGACTGCGACTCCTTGAACTGTGAATTGATCCAGTCGGTGGACGCGAGGGCTGTTACGTATCACGGAGAACGTAGTAGTGAGGTCGTGGAGAAAAGAAGGAAAGAGAGGGGGGGTATTTTCCCCCAATAGTTGAATTGAAATTGTGTATCGTGAGTTAAAGGTGTTGATTCCTGCGATAGAAGGGAAGAGCACGAGAAAATGGGAACAAAAAAAGGGTGGGTAAATTACAAAGAGTGGACGATAGCTATGCGAAGAATGGAGCGGAATGGAGTAAGACGATATATGACACCCACCAAACCTTTTCCAAACCCACTGGCAAGATTTTGATAACCAGAAGCCAATTGGTTCATCTCTGCTTGAGTTGCGTTTTCTTCCGTTACGTGGACGATGGGGCTGATGTCAGCGTTGGTACTGTACGATGATCAGAAATAACATGAGGGGCGGAATTACGTCTGATCGAAGGTTGTAGACGAGGCTGGGGATATGCGACTCGAACAGAGATAGTAGGGCTATACGAGGAATTGGGTAGTTATTCATACGTGTGATTCTCTCCAGGGAGGCTCGAGAAAGTTAGGTGGGAGATCAATGTACAATTGAGATGGTGTTCATTTGGGTGATGAAACTTGGAATCTGGACCACACAGTGTGATCATCGAAGTAGATGAGAACGTTGACCTTCCTCCCGTCGAGAGAGACGAGTGATATAGGATGGACATGAAGAAGTGGAGCCATGCAGAGAAGGGAGACTTCACTCACCGTCGACTCTGCTCAGTCTCCAACCTCCTCTGGGCCAAGATCTTGAGATATTTCTCGTTCCTCGTAGGGTTCACCGTGACTTCATGCTGGACGCGAGCTATCAAACGAGGGTAAGCTGGAGGTGAGCCATGAGTCGGGAACGACGAGTCTCATGCACGAGAGACCCCGGATGTACCCAATGTCGCAAAAAATCAGTCTTCCTCAAAGAGTCTCCATTCCACAACGAACAATAGATGCAATGTTCCCCGGGAGGATGAGAAACTATGCGGGAGAAGATGGTAGAGACGATCAAGCGTGGGTTACGACAAAGATCAGAAGAGCAGTCACGATAGGTCGGTGACTCTGTGAATAGGTTCATCCGTAGACCTAAAGAAAGAAGAAATACGATCCAAAACCCACCTCGATGCCGTCTCTTCTTCCCTGCCGCATGACCACTTTCTGACGAACCATTCCCACCACTCCCACTCCCATATTGTCTCAACGTCTCACTGAACGCCCACGTATTCCTCGAACGTTCTACAGGGATGTTGACATCGTACAAATCGGGGATAGGTGCGATGTTGGTCTCTTGAATGGCTGGATCAGTTTCGGGCAGACGGAGTGTCACTCTTGGGGGATTATAACTGTGTCTCAGTGAGAAGACTCTTTCACGACTGAGAGCTTCCCACTGAGGATTGAGATGAATAATATCGACCGAGAAAGTGCGCCTGTATCACTCAGAGAAGGCGGGGAAGGGAGATCAAAAGGAGTGTAAGATAGGTACCAAACGACTCACTTGCTATCCACCACCAAGCTACCCAGACAAATACCATCCTCTCGGACTTGCTCCCATCGTTCCAATAAGAACCGAGGTATTTTCACAGCCCAGACGTTGCTATTCGGCGCCATGGGTGAGATAGAGAGCGGTTCTTCATCATCTTGAGGGAAAGGCCAGGCCGCAGCGTGAGGGTTGTTTGAGGTTTTAAACGTCGAACGAGCTGCTGTGAAACCGGGCTCGGGTTTGGGAGTGGACATCTTTAGACTCGGAATGCACTGTTAGAAGGTAGAAAGGAGATATCGAAGGGGAGAATGAGGACGGATGGATGTAAACGCTGATGAAAAGTCAAGAAAGTGAGAAGAAAGGAGAAGTGAGAAATGTTAGGAACATTCCAACATCGTGACCGCAAGTTCGACGGAATTCAGCTCCTGTTCTCCACAGTAGTGGCCCAGCAAGTCTGAATTTGTAGGGTCGCGTGAAAGGGGGCCAGAAATGGGGGGGCACAAATAAACGAGACCGAATTTGTATAGTCGTGTCATTGTGATCGTACCCCCACGCGCCACGAGTGCTCTGTAGATATTACCGAGAAACTCAGGGGAACCCAGGAGAACAAACGTGGCACGCACGTGGCACTTGCTCACTGACTGGATCTGTCGATGACCACCTCCTCATTCCTCCTCCCTCCTCCCTCCTCCCTCCTTCCTCAACCCGCCTTCCTCATTCCTCGTTCCACAACCCCTCCAAGCAACTTCACCCACCACACCGTCAGTCCCGCATCATGTCTTCCGACAACGAGGACAAACTTCTCAAAGAGCTCCAAGCTATCCAGGACAACTCAATCATTGTCGATCCCACCGCATATTTGGCAGTCCCCACACTGCGACGCTACCAAGAGGTTTGGAAGCTCTTTGACCAATGGCTCGGCACCCTTGTGGAGTCCGGCTCCAACAACCTACTTCCTGGCTCACCCACCACCGCAAGCGAACTTCTCAATCCTTCCACCCCTCACATGCCTTCCAGAGCCTTCGCCTCCTTCCTTGAGTGGTGGGCATCTTACACCTCTGCCGCTTACTACAAACTCCCGCTAGTCAACACTGCCGTCACAATTATCGGGCGTCTCTTCCGCTATCTCGACCTCCACAAGCAGGACAAGCTTCCACGATTCACCAGGCTTTCGGTGTTCAGGCATATTCAGGGTGATATGGTCAAAGACAAGTTTCTCTTGCCCCAGAAGCGACACCGCTCCTTTACATCTCAAGGAGGAATGAAACAGCTAGCCCAAGCATTCTTCTCTCCCAAAGCGCAACATTCCTTACGAGCCAGATGGCAAGGTCTGTTTGTCATATCCGTGCTCCGCCTGACAGCACTTTGACCAGGATCCCTCTCGCCCGGCGACGCACAGCCTATCGATACCCTGGGCGTGAGGTACCAAGACTTTTTGCTATGCATCACACCAGCAGATGAACCTGACTCGCCTCCCACTCTCGCCCTCCGCCTCACCACCCTTCACGGCAAAAGAGACGCCTCCCGTGACAAGGAACATGTCTTGCTCGCGGAAAGCGAATTGTGGTCCTGCCCCGTCCATTGGCTCCTAGTCCTGGCCACTTTGGACGACACCCTCCCCTGTCCCCTGGACCTTCTGCTTCACTCCCGCAACTTTCCCGCTCCACGAGTCTTGCAATTTGGACGTGGCAACCTCGCAATATGTCAAAGTACACGCCAATCTGCTCGGTCATCTTGGACCGTTGGCTCGCTTTACAAGGTCATGACACGCACCTCCTTGATTGCCGGCTTTCCCTACGCCATCACACCATACGCCCTACGCCGGTCAATGGCCGTACACATGTTTGCATCTGGTGGGTACATCTTCACCTCGCAGTCGCACCACTGACTCTCCCAGGTGTGCCTCTGGCACAAATTTCAAAAAGGCTGGGCCAAACATTATGTCAGGAAGTGCTACGGCGTTACATTGGGGAATTCCCGTGAGTCACTTGAGCCATTCCGTCCCCACCGGCCTCACACCGCCACCGTTCCTCCACGGACACTGCTACCTCCCCACCAGGCTAAATGCAAGTGGCTGATTGTGGCAGAGCCACCGATATCACGGCTCATGTCCATGAGGCAGCTGATTCAGACGCCATAATAGCCATGGAACATTTGCTTCTTCACCCAAACATGCTGTCACTCGCGGCCCGAGCCCCAATCTCCCTATCCCCCGAGGGAATAGAGGCGATCCATGATGATGCTGAGTGTGAGTCGCATCTCCCATTCACCCCTATCCAGCTCATTACAACCGCTCTCTGCCGCCCACCCGCGTCCACTTTGACAAAGTCACACTCCCGTGCAAGGCTGTTCGGACATCCAACATTAGCACAGCATCCCAAGGGAGCTGGTCGCTGACAGTCAGACGTTGAGGAGCTCGAGAGACACAGATCTTTGCGACAGGATCTCCTTCAGGGAAGTGCCTACAAACAAGCCACTCCTGAGGCGCAAGCACAGATAAAACTCAGCTGGTCTCGACTTCGCGTGGTGTGGGGTCGAAAAAGCAGAGAAATCTTCAGGCAGGAGTGCTACAACTGGTTCCAAGCCCACGATCAAGAACGGCTTGTGATGCTATCCCAAGCCCTGGACAACCTACAAGACGAAGCTGCCTTGGACCAAATGCCAGATGTTATGTCAAGCACTGCGGACATTGTGGAATACGACCCCGAAGCGTTCGAATACGTTCTCCGCACCCATCGCCTACAATACGCCTCTGATTTCGCCAGTCTCGCTCAAGCAAGCTGCCAAGAAGAAACAGAGCTAGACGCGGACGACATAGACGCCATAGATGACGCAGAGTACCCCCTGGCTCCCACCCCTGCCCACGC